CCCCCTTCTTAATAAATTAAAGTTTTTTTTTTTCAAAAAAGAAAATTGAGGTATATAGTATATACAAACAAACTCAATAAATTCAGTTAAAAATATTTAATGTTATGCCAAATATTTACTTGCTTACTGCATTAGAAGAATGATATTTTTTGCTATTTATGACACTTTTGGGGGAATGAATGAGATTATCCTTGTGTGTACGTATCTCTTACATAATTACGTCATTAAATATTTCCCAAGATTAAGTAAACAGGTAAAAGAAAACATTAAAATAAATAAATTGAACAATGTCATTCGGGGATGTAGCTCAAATGGTAGAGCGCTCGCTTTGCATGCGAGAGGCACGGGGTTCGATCCCCCGCATCTCCAATTTTATCAAATCGTTATCAATTTTTGCCGCACCTTCCAAACACGCGCCATTCTTATGTATTGGTTATTCTTGAAGGGCTTTCTAATGATGGGCCGATCTATTGGAAAAAACAGTATCAGCAATAGCCCACAATGAAGTCAAAGTGATAATTTTTATCTTTATACATATTGTTTTCATCCGATGATGTAGCTCAAATGGTAGAGCGCTCGCTTTGCAAGCGAGAGGCACGGGGTTCGATCCCCCGCATCTCCATTTTTTCCAACTCATTATCAATATTTTTGCATATATATATATATATATATATATATATGTGTGTGTGTGTGTGTGTGTGAATGAAGGTAGCCCATCCAACTACTTGTAGAACATTCATCCATACAATTGACGTTTACAGTCCAACTAACAGCTTTTTATTTTAGTCAAATATTATTTTCTATTTTCTCTTTCAGAAATCATCAATACTAACATGAGATGATTGATTAAGATTGCATTAGATTCGTAATCCATTATGAGGAAGAATTTTTCAAATTATGCTTCTAAAGTGCTAATTAACTGTATTACTTTATTGGTCCGGTTAATTAGTTATATATGATTAGCAGTAACAAAGATAAACGAGGTAAAAGTTAATAATTATTCACGTGTGATGCACGTACAAATATTAATAAAAAAATTAAAACATTTCAATAGCTTTTGGTTATTAATTCCATATATTCGATTGAAAAAATACTTAAACGCTGTTTTCTAGCCAAAATGTGACACTTTATTATAAGGAAAGTGCAACGGAAATACTTTAATTTTTTAGGTCGAATTCGTCGTACAAAATTAATTTATCCATAGCGATTTACGTATCAATATATAATCTGTGAGTTTATTATTAGACAATTGGTCCAATTTCCCAGGCCAACACATTAATTATGATCTTCTCATATTTAAAATAATAATAATACAAATAATGACAACTATGCGATGGTCTATTTAATATAGATTTCGTAACTCGTTTCAGTTAAAGAAAAAGTCTTGATGTGCATAATCAAACTAATTAATTATAATTTGTTTATATATATATATATATATATATATATATATATATATATATATATATATATATATATATATATATATATATATATATATATATATATATATATATATATATATATATATATATACACGTATAACAGAATTTATTATGATTTATAATACTCGAAAGAATATATAAATACACCTGTATATTCACATCCAATAAGAAGGGAATCCGATTGAAAGAAAAAAAATGATAAAAGAAGGAAAAAGTATATTCTGAGAGTTTCATTGTCAACGGTCAGCGACCGAATTTGTCACACATGGTTAATTTTGTTTGGTTTACGTCTCTTGTATGATTTGCAAGTTATTGTACGAGAGTATAAGTTTACTCAGTGCTAGGTCGAGCTTGTCACACATGTAGTTAGCCTACTGTAATTTACGTCTCTCGTATGATTTTTAATTATTATACGAGAGTGTTATCCAGTGTATTTATATAATTGACTGCGTGTTCTTTCATTTAAAAAAGGGTTAACTGCAAAAAATCCCCTAAACTTTGGACGTTTTTGCGCTTTACCCCCTGAACGGAAAAAAGTTGCACGAGCATACCTGAACTTATTATATTGTTGCACTGGCAACTAAAATTTCTATTTTTAGCCACATTCTTCCCTGAATTGCACACGTGCAATTCACACGTGAAAATAGAGGGGCAATTTCGCCATCTCACAAGGTTTATAAAAAAAAAAGAAAAAAAAAGAAAAGAAAAAAATCAAAAGAAAATTAGAAAAAATAAAAAAAGGAAAAAAAATATTTGGTCATCTTCTTCCTCATTCTCTCGGCAGCCGAACACAACACCAGAATTTGACCACCACCACCTCTGCTCCGCCGCCGTGCCACCACCTCTGGCCTTTGCTCCGCCGCCGCACCACCACCATCACCATCTCGGCCGCGCATCCCTTCCAGGTCTACCAATTTCAGTCCCCCATCCCTTAATCTCACTCTCAAATCAATGTCGAACCCCTCAGATCCCTTCTTTTATGGATTTGTTTCTCCCTTGTAATCGGTCCCTTTGCCCCTTCATCTCTCACCGCCGGTGATATCCGCGTCGGTCTTGGCCCCCCTCTCAATCAAATCCCCACCAATGCTTCTGTTGATATCATCAATGACAAATTCAACAGAAAATCAACCAATACCCTAAAGAAAACACCCGAAGATGCCGTCGCCGCCGTTGGATTCAATGGGCATTTCGAGAAATCGACAATTAAGGATGGATTTTGGTGGATAAATCGAAATCAAAATCAAAATCAAAATCGGAATCGGAATCAGATACGATTGAAAAAGCAAAGTCGGGAAGATTAATTAATTTTGTGTTTTGGTATGATGTGCTTTCGAGTTACAGTCCTTAATTTCTGATGGACGGTGAGTAGAGGCGGCAGGCGGCAGAGCAGAAGTGGCGGAGGGAGGTGAAGTAGAGGCGGCAGGCGGCAGAGCAGAGGTGGCGGAGGGAGGTGAAGTAGAGGCGGCAGGCGGCGGCTGAGAGCCGAAGTGGATGAAGAGTTTGGTTGGGGCTGGTGCTGACGGGAGGAGTTTGGTTGGGGATGATGGTGACGGGAAGAAGAAGCTTTTTTTTTTTTTTTTTTTCTATTTTTTACGATTTATTAAAAATAAAAGAAAGAAAATGGGTGTATAAGGAAATGACTTATTTACCCCAGCTATATACACGTGTAAGGCACGTGACATGGATTCCGGTCAATTTTGGCAAAAAATGGAAATTTTGGACATTGGTGCTAAGAATAATAGAGTTCAGGTATGCTCGTGCAACTTTTTTCCGTTCAGGGGGTAAAGCGCAAAAACGTCCAAAGTTTAGGGGATTTTTTGCAGTTAACCCTTTAAAAAAAAAAAAAAGGTAGTATATAAACGAGACCACCTACCACTTAATTTCTAAAATATAACTTTTGGTAGTTTGTTACGCGGGAAGGCTTGAGTGGGCGACACGAATTAGTTACATAACAATATTATTTATTTCGGAAAATAATTTATAATTTTCGGGATTTCACTCTTTTTTTAATTAATAAGTAATAAATAAAACATGAAATCAACGACTCTCTCAAATATATATTATGAAATTTAATAATTACGATTTCAACGATAGTACCTGATTGGTCCGCTTTTTTATTAGAGCTTTTTTATTTTATTTTTCTTTTGGTTTTTTTATTTTGTTTATTATCTTTCCAAAATACTATTACCTTTATTCCTTCCCAAATTCAAAAGCCTTACCAAATTGACACACAAATTTTTACCTAATGCAATGACTAGACACTAGAATTTACAACTAAACTACAGAAGCAGGTAAAGAATTATGTGCAAGTCTGAATGTTTTTTTCCTAGTTTGTCTGAATGTTTATTGAACTTCGAGAGTTGTGTTTGAGTTTATTTTGATAAGAAATTGAATCAAACACGAACAAGCTTTAATCGAACCAAAACACGAACCGAGTTCGAGTATCTTGATTTTCTGTACGCATTTTACCAAAAAAAATTTATCGTCGACCTTGAGCTGAGTTTCATAACTTACGAACGAAAATATTTTATTTTATTTAGTTTTTTTTTGGATAAAGATCACTGTGGAATACATTACAAAGTGCAATTGTTAATATAGTCCATGGTATTTTTATATTTTTTATTTTTTTATTTTGTAACATTGGTAATGATGTTAAAAGACCTGGAATGAAAGATTCATACAAAAGCAGAAAAGGTTAAATAAAAGAAAACAAAAGAAATTTGTACAGTGCAAACGACAATAAATATCAGATTATATGATATATCAGTCGTTAAGGGCATGCAAAAATGTAGTCGTGTCACCAATTAAGACACATACCAACTAGGAGTTTAAAGAAAATTAAATATTTTTGTACATATATATATATATATATATATATATATATATATATAATCACACTATTAAGATAAATGGAATAACATTAGAAAGTTAAGATAAAATAAGCAGGAATTAGGTAATTAAGAAACAATATACAATGACGACTTTCACAAGACATGTTTTTAAAAGGATAAATTCTATATTTGTCCTATGTGGCTGCCGAGCCAACAATATACCGATGACGGAGATTCTGGGGGCGACGCCTTCGAATTTTTTTTACGAGTATTTAGAATATATATATATATATTGTTTAATTCTCTTTTAATCAAATTAAATCCAAAATAATGGGAACCAAGGAATGTAATATATAGTTAGAGCTCTTATAATTATTTGTAAGTTTGTACACATAGTTACTAGTAAACAATAGGTGAACAAATATTGATGACATCACGGTAAAGCTTCATTCTGCAACTAGTACACGTACTAACTATAAGACAAGGCTAATCCGATGATGTACATTGTACATTTTACAGTACTACCCCAAAAGAATTTTTGTTTTAATCATAAAATATTATTTAATATTCAAGCAAATATATAATAATCTATATATGTATTTGTAATATATAAACTACATTGCGCACACAGAAAACCAAGAGTACAACTAGACAAAAAAATTGTATATATAGATATAAATGGAGAAAGTAATATTTATTAATTAATAAATAAACAAGGGTAACAATAAAAAGGAAGAAGAGGAGAGAGTTAAATAGAAGTAAAAAAAGTAAAGGTCCAACTACTCCGCGTAGGCACGACTTGGGCAGATAAAAGAAAGCGTTGAAATTGTTGTGTGTGTGTGCGTGCTTATAGAGAGAGAAAGTGAGGAGAGAGAGAGAGAGAGGTTGGGAGGTGCTTGTTTTAACATCTCTCTTCACAGGGACTAGGCGTGTCACCCAAGCCTTCTTCCTTCTCCCCAATTTTTCCCCCTTTTTGCATCTTCATTCTCAATTTCTAATTTCGCTTCTGATAATGATGCAATTCAGTAGTAATGGCTGATTGATTTGCTTCGATTTGATTTCTGTTATTACTAATTTATCAATTTTGATATAATGAGGACGCTTTCGTCCTCCGGGAATAGCTCCAGGTACAGCCGCTCCTTTGACTTGCCGGAACCCTCGCGAGATCCGCCGCTCTACGGCGCCGCCGGAGGTGCAATGCTGCCGGTCTACCTCAACGATTTGAGGAAAAGCGTCAAATCCGACGAGATGGTTGAGGTCACACTCGAGCTCGACGTCAACTCCGTCGTCCTGTGCAGTGTCGCTCCGACGACGGCGGCGGCGGAAGAGGAGCCGCCGGTATTCAACAACGGTTTCCTCGCGCGGAGCACGTCGGCGGCGACGAGGCTGCGCCGGATGTTCTCGTGGAGGAGGACGGCGTCGGCGAGGACGTCCACGTCGGACGCGGAGGATCAGCACCAGACGGCGGTGGCGACGGCGAGGGAGATGATGAAGATGAAGACGAAGATGATGAGGAACAAATCCAGCGCGCAGAGAGCTCTCGGCGGACTGAGGTTTATCAGTAAAAGCACCACCGCCGGAGAATCTGACCCTAACGCGCTGTGGAAACAGGTGGAGGCTAGGTTCGCCGTTTTGGCTAAGGACGGATTACTCTACCGGCAGGACTTCGGCGAATGCATAGGTGAAAAATAAAATAAAAAATCCACAAATTATTTGAGCGAAAATGCCTATCTCAGATTTGATAAATTCTCCATTTAATTATTTCTCTCTCTATAATCTCTCATCATGCATGAATTTATAATATTATTTCGAATTAATGTCACAAATTTCATAATAATATTATATAGGAATGGCGGATTCGAAGGAATTTGCGCTCGGGGTTTTCGACGCTCTGGCGCGGCGGCGGAGGCAAAAAACCGGCGGAGTAACCAAGGCGGAGCTGCATGACTATTGGCTCCAAATATCCGACCACAGTTTCGACGCTCGTCTCCAGATTTTCTTCGACATGTATTTTTTTTTCCTAAAATTTTTATCTGTCACGATTTGCATTTTTAACTTTTATTAGTTGGATTATTAGTCCTTATTTTTGTGCCCATTCTAACCTATTACTTGCGTTTCACTTCAATTTTTCTTTTCAAGCCAAAAAGTTTTGTATTATTTCACCCATGGTCCCTCTTTCTTTTCATGGAAAGTTGTTCCATTTTCATATTTATTTCACTTTAGTTTACTTTATTACCAAGCACACCAAATTAGTCCTTATTAATATGCATATGTAATGTAGTACAGACAAGTCACAATACTACGTTCTTCATTTAGTACCCTATAACTTTATTTAATTTTTAGTATTTTGGCTGAGAAAATGAGATCGGAACTAGAATTTAAATATTTAATTCCCTTTCCAGCTCAGATTCAGTAATAAGAGTAAGAAGTAAATGACACAACTTCTCATTTGCGTCACAACAATTGACTCTCAACTAGTAAAATCTTATTCTGAATCCTTTCACACATAAATGGTTAAATTAATTATAATTTATTTTCATTTTATTTTATTTTTGATATTCCTATTTTTGGATATGTAAAGAAAAATAATTAATTATTAACGGTTGATCTGTACAGGGCTGATGTTAACGGGGATGGAAAAATCACCAGAGATGAAGTGCAAGAGGTATGGTAAATATTCTTGGTGAACTTCTCAAACCAAAAAAAAAAAAACTGATAAATATAAATTAATTAATTAAATCAAGATTTAGGTCAAACAATAATCTATCTAATATATTAGAGTGATGAGCAATGAGCAAGTCGTGGTAAGAGGTTGGGACATACATTTTTTTAATTTTATCTTTTTATTTGAATTTTCTAATAATGTAGTCTGTGATTAATTATTTGACCGAATCAGTTAATAATGCTGAGTGCTTCTGCAAATAAGCTGGCCAATTTGAAAGAACGTGCCGACGAATACGCTTCTTTAATAATGGAAGAGCTTGACCCTGAACGCCTTGGCTACATTGAGGTACCACCTATCAATTATCTTGAGTGAATATATTAAATTAATAATTTAAAAACAAATTCCATATATATTTTAACCGTATTTTGTATCCCGACAGTTATGGCAGTTGGAAACACTTCTTCTGCAAAGAGAAGACTACATGAACTACAGCAGACCACTGAGCACAACGAGCGTAGGATGGAAGCGGAGTTTTGGTAGCCAAATAATAAACAAAATCGCGTCCCCACTTTTCGACAACTGGCAACGAGGATGGATTCTACTGCTCTGGATTTTAGCCATGGCCGGCCTTTTCACCTGGAAATTCCTTCAGTACCGGCAAAAAGCCGCCTTCCAAATAATGGGTCACTGCTTGACAACAGCCAAAGGAGCCGCCGAAACACTCAAATTCAACATGGCCCTAATTCTCCTACCCGTTTGTCGCAACATACTCACATGGCTAAGATCCACTCGAGCTAGGCTATTCATCCCCTTCGACGACAACATTAACTTCCACAAGGTAATTAAAAAAAAAAATTGAAGTTTTTTTTTTCTGCCTTTCGTTGCACTTAAGCTACTCTCGACTTTCAGGTGATTGCATGTGCTATAGTGGTTGGAGTTGTAGTACATGCGGGAATACATATAACGTGTGATTTCCCAAGGTTGGTTAGATCAACACCTGAGAAATTTGCACTAATTGCTTCCGATTTTGGAGGTGAAAAACCGACATACACTAGCCTATTGGTCGGTGTTATTGGCTGTACTGGTATAGCAATGGTGGTGCTTATGATAATCACCTTCACACTAGCTACACGGAGTTTCAGAAAAAAAGGGGTGAAGTTGCCTCAACCTTTGAATAAATTAACGGGGTTCAATGCGTTCTGGTATTCGCATCATCTTCTTGGTGTGGTGTATGTCTTGCTTCTGATACACGGGACTTCTTTATTCTTGGTTCACAAATGGTACCAGAAAACGGTACGAAATTATTACCAAGCAACATGTGTTTGTCTAGTCTACTCTTGTAATTAGTAAGTAACATCTGTTATTGTATGCGGCAGACATGGATGTACATATCGGCTCCGCTGCTTCTTTATCTAGCAGAAAGAAGCCTGAGAACTTGCAGGTCAGAACATTACGCAGTTAGGATTTTGAAGGTAATTTCACTGCATTTTTCAGTTTTCGTCTCTCGCTAAGATGAAGTAAATATGCACGTCTAAAATAGCTTTACGAGTTTCTTTTTCGACTTCATAGGTTTCTGTACTTCCGGGAGGTGTATTCACCTTGGTCATGGCGAAGCCAAATGGATTCAAATACAAAAGTGGACAGTATGTTTTTCTGCAGTGTCCTGCAATCTCCTCCTTTGAATGGTAAGCATCACCACTAAACACACACACACACACACACACACACACACACACACACACAGAAGTACGCAAATTAATTTTGTGTTTTTTTCAGGCATCCATTTTCACTCACTTCAGCACCAGGAGACAACTACCTGAGTGTTCATATCCGTACAGTTGGTGATTGGACAAAAGAGCTAAAGCGAGTGTTTACGGAAAACAATAGTTCAACATCTGTGATTGGTCGGGCAAAATTTGGATCACTCGGAAATGTTAATCAAGCAGGGTAACTTGGCCAACATAATTTATTGTCATTTAAAATATACTCTCTAGAAAACCACAAAAATCACACTTTGTTGGTGCAGTCTACCTAAATTGCTCGTTGATGGACCCTACGGAGCACCTGCACAGGCCTACCAGAACTATGATGTATTACTACTTGTAGGACTAGGAATCGGAGCTACTCCTTTCATAAGCATCCTCAAGGATCTCTTGAACAATACAAAATCAGAAGATCAAATGGTATGCCTCGGCACTAGCTATATTAGCAATTACAATATTTTAGTCAAATCTGCAATTTAAAATGTCTTTTTTTTATCGATCAGGACTCGAATACAGATACCAGTCAATCAGATGAAAGCTCAACTAGTTTCGCCTCTTCAACCGACACGTCAGTCGGAAAGAAGAAACCACAGAAAATAAGGAGTGCTCATTTGTACTGGGTAACCAGAGAACCTGGTTCCTTTGAGTGGTTCAAGGGAGTGATGAATGAAGTAGCTGAAATAGATCACAAGGTATTAATTACTCTTTCCTAGTCGAGCAATTATCTGTTCTAAATGATTGCTTTAAATGAAGGACTTTGAAAATTTAATCATGTTCGAAATGGAATAGGGTCAAATCGAGATGCACAATTATCTGACGAGTGTTTATGAAGAGGGGGATGCAAGATCAACTCTTATCACAATGGTGCAAGCTCTAAACCATGCTAAACATGGAGTTGATATCCTATCTGGCACTAGAGTAATATCTCTACCCCTTCTTCACACGATTTCAATAATATCTGTGATTAGCAACGACTTATAATTGTAATCAATAAACAGTAAAACGCTTATAAACTAGAATCTAAGACAATTTATCGTATTCTGGTTTCAGGTAAGGACACATTTTGCAAGGCCAAATTGGAGAGAAGTTTTCAACAAAATAGCTTCAAAGCATCCATGTTCGACAGTAGGTAAGACATTTCTGACCAGATTTAATCAATCAGATAATCACGAACATGTCTATTGATTCTATCCTGATCTTCTAATTGAGGCCTCGGTCGTAAAAGTTGTAGCTGGATAGAGATTCGTTAACAGGTTATCTAATCAATGTGCAGGTGTTTTCTACTGTGGTATGCCTATCTTAGCAAAGGAGCTAAAGAAGCTATCACAAGAACTGACTTACAAGACTTCGACAAGGTTCGAATTTCACAAAGAGTACTTCTGATGCAAGAATATCGGAAATAACCACACAATCCGGATTTGTAATTATTCATGTATACACGCATTATACATACATTTATTTCTTCAGATAAAATTTAAAGTGCACATTTTGTTTTACAAATAGGATTAGTCAAATTCCCCAAATCAAGTAAGGGATGCCTAAAAAAAAGAAGGTAGATTTGTTATATGTAATTAAATGATAGGAACACCGAATAATAGTCAGCTTATGCTTCTAAACTGTGTAACAAGCTGGAGTTATATATTTAGTTGAATGAATCAAAATGACGAGGAATGTAACCGAGTTACGGGGAATATGTATGCTGCCAGCATTTTGGTTACGGAAACTGATTCACGAGACAAATATCATCAGTTTCAGAGTATACTTGACATGCATAAACCAAAATCCCCTGCTTCAAAAATTTACTAAAAGGCAAGATGATTCACACTTAACGAGCCAAAGTACAAACCAATTGTGCAGCCTCATTATTGCGATAGATAAGTTTACAAAAGAGCAAATATGCAGGTGCGCGTGTGCGTGTCTATGCAGGTGTAAATATTCTCCAAAAAAGACGGGGAAGAGGCAGTGGATAATAGAGTATGGGAACATAATAAACTTCTATACGATGCCAAATTGTAAATATAGAAAAAAGTGAAGCTATATAATTCCAACTAGAACAACTTAAATGACAGCATTCAAAACGTCAATCAATTGAAAATTTCCGTAAATTCTTAATCATCAAAGAAGAAGATCTCTATAGTGTTTGATGTACCTCCACTAATATTCATATGCATATGCATCGAGAGTCAAACAAGTCAATCATCCTTCAACCTCCGAAGAAGTTTTGAAACCCATCGACGAACGCGTCTCTTCAGCGTGTAACCGACAAAGATACCAGCAACAAAGCAAATTCCACAAAGCTTCGAGCAGGTCCACAGAGATACAAATTTTCTGCATTAAAATATTCATCATCATATATTTTAAAGTGGTTCCTCTTGCTTCTCGATTCCCAAAAAAAAAAATTGGTAAACGTAATAGAAACTCGAGAAACTGCCAAATTTAAAATTAAACCAACATAAGCTGGAAAGAGTACGACCAATCCACCATTAAAGCTTCAAATAGATACAGTTAACTAAAAAGGGGTAAATAGGGTTTATTTTTTGAATTACCTTGAGGATCGGGTGAGTAACAATTGAGATTGATCGGTAGACAAAGCAGAAGAAGACGAGCCAAGTGAAGATGTTGCAGAAGAAGAATCGATTGACTTTGCTTTTTCTAATGAAGAAACGAATGAGCTGATTTTCGCCGTCGATTCCTGCGCCTGTGACAATGCACTCTGATATGCTTTCTGCAGCTCCTCCATTTTCACTGAGTTTCTTTTTTTTTTTTTTTTCTTCTCAAATTCGAAATGGGAATTTTATGAATTAGGGTTTCGGGATTCCAATCAAATGTCAAGGGTTTAAGGAGCTCGTAACATCCACGAAAGATTACGAATTTACCAATATACCCTTGAGTGTAACTTTCAACTTCCGGGCCTATTTGGAGGTTCAAATTACCATTTCACCCTCAAATAAATCTTGTGGCCACAAATTAACTGAAACGTGTCTTAGAATATGCACTCGCGTTGGGGTATAAATTACTGGATCTGCCATTGCATGTTTAGCATCTTCTTTCTCGATTCTTGGCATCTATAATTAGATCCTCTCTCGAGCCATCTGATCCAACGGCCCAGATTTCCTCTTCTTCCTCCATATATTTATTAATAATTCCCCCTTCAACTCTCTGACCTGTAAGAAACTAGAGAGAGAAAGAAAAACGAAATATACATACACAGAGAGAGGTAGAAATGAAGGTGTTGGATTCTCCGTTCGAATCTCTCGCCGTTAGTTATTTGAGCTACGGAGTCTACACCGCCGTCAACAATATGTTATGGGCGTGGATAGCCGTTTTCACGGCGTCCGTTAGCTGGTGGAGGATCACCAGGGCTTTATCATCATCACCATCACCAGTACCGCTTCTGTCAAGACCGGAGCAATCAACACCGCCGCCGCCGCCTCGTCCGGAACCTGCGGCGGTGGAGGTGGCCGGCGAGCCCACGACGTCGTGTGAATGCAGCCCGAAAGGGAAGTACTTCAGCATGTATAATTATGATAATGAGCAAGGCGGCGAAGATGACGTTGACGGCGGAAGCAATATTAACGGAGGTGGGTCGGTGGTGGTAGAGAAATTAGGGCGGCGGGTGGACGATTGGGAGAGAGTGATGGTGGTGATGAAAATGGGAGATATGGGGTGGTACAGATGCCAGGATTTTGATGTCCTGGACGGAAGTGTTGTGCGGTTGTGGGATGACGACCGCCGCCGCCACACTGGTGGCGGATTGCGGCGTCACGTGGTAGGTGTAGAAAATGTAGGTGGTGTATGGTTGTAGTTGGAGGGAATATTAATCCATGAATGGTGATGCAGACTTGTTAACAAAATTGTATATATATTTTATCCGTGAAAAATAAATTAAAACATTTTTTAGACAATTGCTAGGATTCCATTATTACAGAATGAATTCATCCAAATACAATTAATTTATTAAATGTTTTTTCATTGTAATACTGGATAAAACATTTAAAGGGCCTATTGATTGTAACATTTTGGGCCTTATTGATGGCCCATAAAAGAATGTGTAGTTAATTAGTCATTGATTTCTAGCTAATTTAATTTGTCTTAGCAATAGAGAACTCTAATGAGTCTTAAAACATGTGATTAGTGTTTACAAAGATATCAAATTAACTAGATTCTTGGGCAAATTAAAAACCATCCCTCCATTCAACAACAAAAATGCTACTCCAACACAACTCAGAGTAGCAAAACCGTACTTTGAGAAGCCAACTAATATATCGATTATAATTCCGAGAAATTTAGAAAGAAAAAAAAAAGGCAGCTTTGTACTCACTCTTGCTTGCCACAGAAAGTAAGGTCTCTACATAACAGGAAAAGATAGAACACAAAAAATGAGCTCCACATGATACTAAACTAGTACGGAAATATTTCCTCGGTTTTGGTCATGACTAATAGTGCGCGCTTACAGTCTTTTTTGTATTGATAGCCTATCTTTATCCTCGGAATCAACATCAACTGCCAAAATCCATTACATACCTCTGCGTCGTTCTTTATCCAATTCGAGCACGGTAAATTTCTACTTGTATGGAGCAAATAAAATCGATGAGTTGTGTCCACCAAAGCCGAATGAATTAGACAATGCCACCTTAATGTCCAGTCTTTCTTTTGTGGGTCCCACCAGCACGTTCATATCCTGAATCAAGTGTTGTTTACGAATGTAATAAATTTATGGAAAACATGTTTAAAAACTAGAAAAGAAAAGAACAATACGCTTCGACACTATCGTGTCTGTGCATGAAATTACTGAAAAGGGATTCGGAGAAAAAAGCATACCACACGTTCATCTGGGTTTTCAAGATTGATATTTGGATGAACCCAACCAGTTCTGATTGCCTACAATAAGACAATGGGCTCAATTTAACAATGATTGTTGTTCCAAATGTTCTTAGGCACATTCAATTAGCTAATATATCATATTAAGATTCATATTCTTAATACTGAAAACTGCAATGCGTGAAATTGGAGAAACTGAATATGCACTCGAAATTAACACGTTTGGCTCAGAAAGAAAAGTTCTTAGGCACATTCAATTAGCTAATCATACTAACCTGCACAGTTGCAACAGCCTCCACTGCACCAGCTGCTCCAAGTAGGTGCCCGATCATAGATTTAGTGGAGTTCACCTTTAACTGTGAAATAGCAGAATTAGCCACAGATTACACAAACCTCTGCAATAAAGCTACAGTACATAAGGCATAAAACGGAATTTGAGTTTATGTGGAAACCTCTGAATTCTGTCCAAAACAATGAATAAGTGCTTCATACTCCTTAAGATCACCAGCAGGAGTAGATGTTGCATGTGCATTTATATAATTCACATCTTCCTTGGATACTCCTGACTGAGCCAAAGCCTTCTCAACGCACAGAATAACGCCAGTTCCTGCTTGATTGAATAAGATAAAAAAGGTCATAAAAATTCCCGTAAAAATTATTTACGTCTGATTCTATAGTAAATCCTCAACCCAAATATAAAATTTAGGTTAGAGAAAAAGGGATATAGTACCTTTAGGATGAGGCTCTGTCATGTGATACGCATCACAAGTGAAGCTTCCACCAAGAAACTCAGCGTAGATTGTTGCACCTCTATTCTGCTCATCCACAAATCATTGGAGATTTTTATCTTTAAGAATAAATTAGTCAACAAGGAATTCCCCTGCATGCATGACAAAAATATTAACTCTGCAGTAAATTAGAATTTCAGCATACCTTAGCATGTTCGAGTTCTTCCAAGAGCAACACTCCAGCCCCTTCTCCCATAACAAATCCGTCGCGATTCTGTCCAATATAAAATTTAAGGTTATAGGTGGGCACTGATACTTGAGATCAATTACTATGGAGCTGTAACCAGCTCTTTTCCTGTCACTAAGGCAAAAGATTATTCATTAAATGGTTTTTTGCATTGCTATTGTCCTTCCATTCTCTCTGATATAAGCATATTAACCTGTTTGATTACTGAGTTCAACAACCGATGCCCATGCAAACTCAGAAGTCAGATCGTGATAGTGGATAAACACAGTCATTTTGATTTAGAACTTGAAATATGCATATGGATTTAACTTTTAAGGCATCCCTAGAGTAATAATCACAGCACATCAGAAGATTATATCTCCCACACAATTTGTTACAATTATGCTAAATAGTGTTTTTAATTGGCTATCTCAGATAGTTGATAAATTTTCATGCAAATCAATTCAAGATAATATAAATAAACTATTTATAGAATACGCCCTTCCGAAAGAAATGGAAGGGAGCTTCAGTTTGTACCCTAGGTTCCAACAAATAATAACAACGATAATTCGAGTACAGGACATGGGAATATTTTCTGACATTAAAGGATAAATTACCACGGGACCGCATACTGATTTTCAGATTATATTCTCCAAATTCCAAATATGGTTAGAGATGAATACAAAATAAACAGAACATTACAGTATCCCACGGACGTGAAGCTTTAGAAGGATCAGTGTTTCTCTGTGACAACGCTCTGCATGCAACAAAGCCTCCCAATCCTGTACCACAGTTTATTATGGCCTAAAATGGAGTTTAAGATTCCGAAAATTATTTGTGCAAGAAAACGATGACTTACCAATAGGTATGATTGCTGCATCTGATCCACCACAAAGCATCATGTCCTGCAAAATATCAACGAGCATCAGAATAGGATAAGGAAAGAGATGGGATGGTCTATCTTCAGACATTTGCTAGTGGGTTCCACATAAAACATTGAACTAGTCTAATATGGATCTTCAAACAAGGATGCAAGTTGACTTACAGCTTCCCCTCTGATGATGTGGTTAGCAGCATTGAGAATACAGAAGTTGCTAGTTGCACAAGCAGTAGATATTGAGTAGTTTGGGCCCATCCATCCCTATGATAATCAAGCTTAGGATGAATTTGATAAGTTATGTATTAATCAAAGCTGCTATAGTCGAAGGAAAAGATTTGTCTAACCAGATCCATTGCGAGCATGGCAGAACCCATGTTTGTAGTTGCAAAAGGTACACAAAAAGGATTCATCTTCCTATATGAGATTCGCAATGCTTCAATTGCGTCGTAAAAAACCTGTCCAAGAATTAAACCAACTAAGAGGGAAGGTACACTATATCTCAAGATATACTTCATGTGCAAAAAGAAAATTTATTAGCCAAAGCTATTACAAAGAAACACATATCTTCATAGTTTCAAGGCTTTCGAGCAGCTGGTTTTGAACGGGGGAGACTTTAACCAGCTATTAAATTTATAAAACTGAAAAATATTTTCTATCAGGTGATCAAACACGCATTCTATTTTCACTTAATGAGTCAAAATTTTGAAAAATGGTTATGTAATCTCAACAGTAAAAGGTCCCAAAGAAGAACTAAATAAAAAAAAAAAGATAAATAATCACATTTTGACTGCAAATGAAAGGGTCCCAAGAAATATCAGCCATGGAAACTCACTCAACTCTACTCCTGAGAATTTTACAATAGTTCATCCACAACCACAATCATCACTAATTTCTGCACAAAGAAGAAATTATACATACCTTCATCCCGCCCATAGCAGATCCAATTAGCACGCCACATCTTGTTTTATTCAATTCTTCCATAACATCTTCTGTAATTCCTCCATCAACCAAAGCCTTCTTTCCTGCTGTCAGCATGTAAAGCATGAACTTGTCCATTCGCTTGGAAAGTTTAGGTGCAACCCAGCCATCTGTTGAGAATGACTTGATCTCTCCAGCAATTCTCTGCAAACGTAAACTTTTAGAATAAATTTTACAAGAACTAGACTTAAACAATGAAAAAAGATAAAAGATAAAAGATAAAAAATCCAGACATACAGTTGAATACTGTGAACAATCAAAAGACTCTATCTCACTAATGCCGCTGACTCCTTCAAGCAGGTTATTATAGAATACATCCGGATCATGACCAAGTGGTGTCTCTACACCCATACCAGTCACAACCACTCGCCTTTGCTCGGTTAGAGGTTTGTTCTTGGGTGTGACTTCATCGACCGAAGTTAAAGATATCGCCAGTGCTTCCCCTATAATTCACACGCAAACCAGATAATCAACACAATACACTGATGCCCCAGGGAAACCATGCTAATGAATCACGATGCAAAATTTTCACAACTCCTAATCAATTACATTACTAATCAAATTCTTGCCAAACATAAGCTAGTGTTTGGCATGCCTAAAAGCAATTAAGGTCACAACCGTATGCATTGAATTAAATCACCCTCGAAACAATAGAAGCATATGACGAACTTTATATCTCAGAAACCACTGTCAATTACATACATCCATATATATACATAAAAAAACAATTTAGATCCCGAGTTCAAAAATCGTTCACAATCATAGATTAAATGTATAAAATATTTTTTGACTTTAAGAAAAAGAAACTTAGTTGTGGTCTTCTGGACCATTCACTCGTCGGGTACTCGTAAAGTGAAATAAAATTATAAAACACAAATCAGGATACGAGATCCAGAATGCATAAGCAGGCCACTGTAACAACTAACAGCACTTCCATGGATATAGTCAGTACAACAACTTAACCTAAATTAGCCTCTAGTCCAAAGAAGCTGAGCAGATAACAGGGTTCATGCACAATCTATGAACAACAAAGCACAAAATCACCAAACATCCTTTCAAATGACACAAAACTGAATTTCACTTTTACTAACCCATTCACTACGAATTGAATCCCATGACTGTACAATTTGATAATAAACTAGGGCGAAGAGAGAAATTGGGGCAAGTCAGAAATCGATTCATGACGAGGACAAGTAAATGAATGAGAACTAAAAGCCCTAATCAAATTAATTAAGAAACATCAAACACGATAAACATCAGAACAAGCAGAAAGTAGCGGCGAGCAGAAATTACACAAACCAGAGCGGGCAGACGGTCTGTGGAGTTTCCGGCGACTTCGATGCAGCGGAGCGTCCCTCGATCCGAAGCCGGAAAAACTGTCGGAGGCATTCGAAGATTTATAGAAGTTGTCGCAGGGCTCAAAGGCCAAGCAGGAATTCATGAGATTCCGAATGCCGGAGAAGTGAGGAGCACATTGGGCGAGAACTCTCTTCCGGCGACGGGCGGCCCATCTGCTGAGGCGGTACGGATTAGACGACGTCGTCGTCGACAGCATGGAAATGGACGATTCCTTCTCATAAGCGACAGACATGCATGCGGCCATTAGCCATGAGCAAACCGCCGACGACGCCGCCATCGCAATCCCCTCTCCTCTGTCCCACACACACACTACACAGAATCTATGTTACTGTATCTATATATTTATATAGATATAGATATATATCTCAATCTACAACAATGTGTATCGCTACACAAGCGTATATGCGAATATCTGTACTATATATCTAACACAGAAAGTGAGAACGGTGGGCGCGCGTGAGGTGGGGGTGGGGGTGAGAGTGTGCTTTTTAAAAAGGGGATGGCGAAATAAACGAGAAGGCCATTTTTCTCTGATGGGATTGAATCTGAAAGAGAGGAGTAACAGTGTGTAGAGAGAGAGAGAGAGAGAAGCGCTTCTTTTCCTAGAGAGAGAAAGTAGTGTGTCTTTTATTTGGCTTTTTTATTTTATTTTATTTTGTAGCTGAGTGTAGGCCACGCGCGCGCGCACACACACACTCATGAGATGATGTTTTTGTACTGTGTGTGTGACTAACATCCCAACAAATATTAGGCAGAGCATCTACGACCAGAAAAATATTTTTGTTTTTGTTTTTAATATCGATAAATATTTGTACACATTAAATTTCTCCACCTATAAATAAAAGTTTTAAAACCTACTATTGTAATATTCTTTTTATTTATTTATTGGGTAAATTACAAACACCCCTGAGGTATGGTCAATTTACAAAAAAACTCCTCATGTTTGGATAATTACATTTATCCCCCTCAACTATGTTTTTTTTTACACCTCCACCCTTGTGGTATCAAATTCAACATAATCATCTAGATTTCCTGGAATTTGCTCTAGTTTGTACTCGTTTTGTGTAAAAATACAGTTTCTGATGCACCACAATCTGATATATACAAGCCAAAAAACACATATTATGATCATATTGCTTCAAAATGGAGTTCGAATGGGATAAAACGGGTACAAAAGTGATAATATTCCATATAATCTTCGAAGATTCCACTAAATTTGAAGAGTTCAGGTAGTAGTTGTAATTATCCAAACAATAGGAGGTTTTCGTAGTTTGATCATACCTCAGTGGTGGTTGTAATTTACCCTTATTTATTTAATATTACCTCTCTATTTCCTGTGGCTATGCTGACAGTGTAGATGTATTAATTGGAGTGTTCAATAATACTATTTTATTAATCTAATTGTATCAGAGTAACAATAAATTATTTGCTCAGGAGATTGGCTGCAGTATATTGTGCTAGATTTCTAATTATTTATTATTATTATTGGAATAAAAAATTACATAAATTGAACTACTCCATCTGATATTGAGTTCGGAACACAAATGAAACTCTGACAAAACAAAAAAAACAAATAACATAGATTAATTTATTTATTTTATAATTGATTAAACAATATAAAATATAGAAGAAAATGTGCATATGCATTAAGTCTGCAGAACAATTAACCTATTTAAGTTCTAATTAAGAATTGATTCAATGGATCTTGTTTATTTTATCTGTTCTAGGCTTCTAGCCCACTGCCTAACCACATACACTTTAAAAGAAAATTATGTTTACTACTAAAGTAGCAACTTTAATGTATTAGTATCAAATCGAGTTATAAAAAAAATTAATTAATTGTTTTCAATACTATTATAAAATACCTTTGCTCCAATCAAAAGCATCAAATGATGTTTTAATTTTGCAAAAATTAAGGTGGTTGTATTTTTTTATTTACCACATGCCAGTTTATAAATGGATGATTGAGTGGTTGATTAAACTCACGTTTGATGCTTTTATCTTCAGTATGCATATCGACTTATGAGATCATACACCTGGTGAAATACATTATGTAATTTTAAACCGTAGATCTACTATATAAATAATTACTCACTAAACACGCATACACATGGGTGTGTGTTATTATGTGTTTTGTTGTTTAGGATCACAATTGTGTGTCCCTGAACCGGACACAGTGTTAAGTTGACCTTAATCCTTCATAAATAAATACAATTGTCGCTAATTAGTAATTAGACAAAATTAATTACCAGCTGTATATGTATAGACCAAGCTAAAGGTAAATATTCTTGCTATTGCTGGGGCCTGGCTAAATTGACTAATTATGATATGCAGAGAGAAGCCCACTTGAGAATTTAAATAAATAGAATGAAAAAAAATCCAACGTGTCAATATCGTTTTTAAGAAGTGCAATAAATAAATAAATAAATAAATAATAATAATAAGAATAATAATAATAATAATAATAATAATAATAATAATAATAAATAAATAAATAAAATAAAAAATAAAATAGAAAAGTCACGAGGCATGAACAATGTCCAAAAGTTTAATAAATGTTTGGTTTGGACCACTAAGTAAGCAGATCTCTACCATGCGGCCCTGCATCTATATATTGCTCAAACATCAATCAAACAAATGGAGTTTTCCTCTTTTAAGGCAATTTCTCTTGTTTTTCACGACAAATATTTAATGTAAGAGAAGTAATTTTTTTTTGTTTAAATTATGTGGTACTACTAAGATTTTTATTTTTATATGTATATTTTTAATAAACGCTACATTACGGCTGGTCACCCCATTTAAGTAATGTCAAATTACGAGAAAAATAAACTACTCATGTTTGGGAAATTACAATCACCCGTCAAATATGAATCTTCTTACGTGTCCACCCTTGCGGTGTCAAATTTAATGGAATATTCTAGATTATGTGGAATATTCTCCAGTTTGTACCCGTTTTATCCCATTCGAACTCCGCATTTTGAAACAAGATGATCATAAGATTGTGGCTCTTGGTTGGTAAACATTATTGTAGTGCATCAAAAACTGCATTTTTGCACAAAACGAATACAAACTAGAGAACATTCCACGGAATCTAGAAGATTCTGTTAAATTTGGCACAATAAGAGTGAACATGCAAGAAGATTCATAGTAGAGGTGGTTGTAATTACCCAAACAAGAAAAAAAGTTTTTTTAGTAATTTGACCTTACCTCATGAGGTAGCCGTCTTTTACCCTTTTAATAAATGGTTTCACGACCGTTGAGTTTTCTATTCGATTCGAAAAAAATAAAAAAATAAAGGCTAATAAATATAATCACTGAAATCGTATACTTTTATGACCATGTGATCACACATTAAATAGGGGGTAACATTTTGCCAGCTTATTGCACCAAACTCCAAACAGCCTTTTAATTTGCACTGCACGAAATATCTCAAGCGTAGAAATTCAAATTATTTACAGAAATACGACAAGTCAACCTCGAGGGATTATAGTGTAACTTACAAAGTCATCCGAAAGATGGTAGCTGAATTCCGAGTATTAGCATCACACGTAATTCGTTTGTTACGTGCAAGAAGTTGACATCACTCTAGAAGTAGTTCCGGTACTTTGAGGTTTTGCTCTTCAAACAAAGTTTGAACTCTCTGCAAAACAATTCCACATAAGCGCACGAGAAGAAAATATATTTGATAAAGGGTAACATCGGTAATAATTCCAACCTTCACCGAACTGCCAACCTCCTCTAGCTTTCGCAAAATCACCACCTCATCGAGTTGGGAAACAGTATCCCGCCTCACTGATTTTGAAGGAGACATCTGCAGATTTATCAGTATAGGAAACTCTTCTAATTACGACGAAACAATTGGTCAATCTTGATCAAGAATCATTAATACGATACATACGAAAGCAACTGAAGAATGGCCGGCACTCGGGGTAGGAATATCTTCCACTCGTCCAGAAAATGCCTCGTCTCGAATGGTGGATAGACGAACAAGAACAGCCTGTGAAGAAGGTAAATAAATCATAAAGCTTGTGAGTAATGAAAATCCTATCCTTAGAAAGATTCTTAGGCCCGAGTATATGGAATATACCTTCCTGAAAGCATGAGGATTAGCAATGCCTTGTATTCGAAAATCGTCGCTCGGAGGCCTTCTAACTCCAACGTTCTCTATTCTAACAGAGTAGACTCCGAAAAAGGACTGCAAGTATCCTTTTATACAGTACCGATTTAACAACAACCGGACTTAATAACTGGAAAAATGTATAAGTAGCGTCACAAATTATGCGTGCGGATTTACCTTGTTCGATTACAACATCAGCCACTGACGGCAGCAAGATGTGCTTCTCTTTCTTGAGAACACCGAAACACGGAAATGGCACCGGCCTTCTTACCTGAGCCCAGACACGCAACCATCTTGTTCGTAAAATTGCAACGAAATTAATCAATTATAGATATCGACAATTGCCATATCATGAGCACAGTATGGACAATTATTTCTAAATTTCTCTAACAAAGCACAACCATGAATCAAACAACATAACTATATCATAAACCCTAATTTCCCAAAATATATATATCGCAATAATTTCACCAAATGTAGCACCAAAATGATTAAATGGAAACAGTAGAGAGAGAGAGAGAGGGAGAGGGAGAGGGAGAGGGAGAGAGAGAGAGAGAGAGAGAGGGGGGGGGGGGAAATTACTTTGTAAACAATGGCGTTTGGGGTGAGATAGAGTAATCGGGAGCGGATGTCTTTGCGGAGAATATACCTCCGAACGGGCAAATAAATGAGCATGAATAAGCCGATCCCCCACGCCACTATCAAAACCAGAGAGTACAAAATCCACCTCGCCGTCTGGTATTTTAAGAAACTCTCTTCCGCTTCACAAAACGACGCCGTAAATACAACAGCGTCCTCTTCTTCTTCTTCGTTTTTCATACGGGCCGGGCCGGAATCTGAGCTGCCGCCGCCGCCGTCCAGCAACAAACCCCTTTCCAGGCGGTCTATTTCCGCCGCCCCGACTTCCGATTCCATTAAATTTTCAATCGATTACTGCCGGAAATTCACAGCGAGATTATTCAGATGCTGCAAACAGCTGCTTTTGGATTAATGTTATGGATTATGGAAACATGTTAAGCCCAAATAGAATTACGGCCCGGCCTTAGTAGTCCAATAACTACTGGGCTTTCTTCTTCATTGGTCCATAAAAAAAATTCTCCCCTGTTTTGACGTCCACCGAAATTATGGTGAGGCCTCAATTCATCAACGTTCAAAACATACACACGGTGGGGCCCAATTCGCACGTGTGGTGGGCCGTATTTCTATTTAATTTGAGTTGCATGAAATTTATAGTTTAAAACATTCAATAATAATAATAATAGATTTTTAAAAAAAATGGAACGAACTACAATGCTGCAATTGTATTATTAGAGATGTTTAATTGTTTTAGGTTTCCTAAAGCAAACAGGTTTCTTAAATCTTACGCCAAGTTTAATTTTTCCTATTTATATAAGTAAGGTTTCATCTTAGTTTTTCCATACTACATCGTCTTCAAAGATTTTTGCGTGGAAGTTCTTTCTCGAGGTGAGTAATAATAACCTTTAATTTCTTTTTTTTTTGGCTTTGTGTCTTATGTTTTGTTTAAGAGAGAAAAAGAATTTGGTGGATAAAATAAAATATGTTCTAAATTGGACCAATATTCCAAACAATAGATTTCTTAGCTTAGCTTTTAACAAAATATTAATAATTTAACATGGTTCGAGAGAAATTTATCTGATCGAGCGAGGTTATTAATTTAATCAAGAAAAAAGATGGATTCACGGTGCTCGGACGAAGTCTATGTATTTGCAACCGAAAAGTTATTAAAGAAAGTTCAATACGCATTGGAGGATGCGAAAAGGGATCTGGAAAAGTACATAAATGTTTCCGCCATAATGGAGCAGCTGCCGCCGCCACGCCTGCCGCCCCCACCGCCAATCGGTGATGGAATAGATGGTGCGATGCTGCACGACGACGACGGAATCGAACAGCTACGCATGAGGATTAAACTTGATCGAAAAATTGAAGAGGTGTACCTTCGACATAAACAACAGGAGTTTGATGTGCGGCGTATGATCGAGGTGTCGGAATACCTGTGGGGGACTTTTTACCTTCGTAGCCTCACCTCGTATAGTGCCGCCGATATTATTTCTACACTAAAACGGTTTAGCAACCGAGTTAACAAGGCGACGGAATCGTATTACAAGAAATTGGATGCAAGCGAGCAGTTTCAGAAGCAGTACGTTTACGTACCTTCATGCACCAAACTGTAGCCCTGAAGGAAAACAATCTAATTGCCAGCAGCCGCAGCATATATAAATATGTGCTTTATTTTTGAACTTGTCTAAATTGAGACCATATATGGTTTATTATTTAATTGTCTTAAGTTATTCATGTCTATTTTTTTTTTATCAAATGTCTGTAATAGAATTCTTTTAATTTATTCATGTCTATTTTTTTTTTTTTATCAAATGTCTGTAATAGAATTCTTGTTTCAATGCTTGGCAATCTGAGGGGGGCAGCGCCCCCGAAATATTTTTGGCGGTATTTTGAAATAACAACAATATTATTTTTTTAAATAATATGATCATTATTTAAACTTCATAACCTTATAAGTTTTGTTGGGCTCATAAATGAATTGTTTATAATTGGGCCAAACTTGATAATTTCTCCAAGGTCCAACTCCATGAATTGTGTCCAAGAAGCCCAAACTAGTGAGAACCTTAATCTTGACCGTAAACATTATTTCGTTTACTCTCAACCCTACTCTCAGTTTGAATGTTCCGCTTCTCTCTCCTTCTCTCTTAACAGTACTTTCATCAACAACTTGTCTTTTTTCGACAACTCTTTACATTGTTTTCGCAGTACATATTACGTATCATTCTAAATAAGTACCCAACAGGCATCATGGGTCAAACCCATTCGGCGTCACGGATTAAATAATTTATCATGCAAGTTAAGGGGTCGTTGTTGCTTTGACCACAAAAGTCAACTCCTAGTGTGTACAAGTGCCCCGCATCCGCATTTATCTATAGACAAATCGAGGAAAAGGCTGTAGTCTACAGCTAGAATTAGTCAAGCGAATCTCGGACATATGATTTAAAAAAAAATAAAAAAAATCAAGGCAATATAATACAAACAGAGGCCTGAGTTAAAAGTCTGATCGGATAGATGTATATGCACCTCCACACTCCACACTTATGAATTAAAACAAATGCAAATTTATTTAAAAAAAAATCATTATTACAATTAAGAATAAAAATATGTTTTTGTGAAGAAGAAAAAAAGAAAATTCTTGCATCAAAACCCAAAAAATTATGGCACCAATCACTAAATCCACGAAATTGAAACCTAGAAACCGACCTTCTTGTGAGTGAAATTGAAACCTAATCGCAGTCAACATTTGGTAGGGACAATTAGATTAGTAGAGCACGTGATTCCCACGTGCATCCCCCCAAAAATCTCCCCAGTTTTGACGTCCACGAAATTACGGTGAGGCCTCGATTCATCCACGTTCAAAACTTCACACCGTGGGGCCCAACTCGCACGTGTGTGTGGGAGTTGCAGTTGTGGGCCGCATTTCCATTTAATTTGATTAGGCCCAGTTCTGCTCTTTCTTTTCATTTCTCGTCCACCTTCCAAATTGGACCTTCTTTCGCCCAACCCCTAAAGTCTGACATATTTATGAATTTACCCTACTTTGGGGTAAATATGTGATGTTGACGTCCACAAATCATCATTATTAAATTAAATTAATTTCAATAGTTTTAAATTAGTTTTTTAAGATAATATATAATTCTGGCCCTCCACGCCGTAATGAGAAAAAGTACATTGAAGTAGTACTTGTATAATGTAGCTTTGACAATCATACATCAATAATGAACATTATAATAAATTTAATTTATATTTGTATTTCGTGCATGTGATATGTTTTTCACTTGGTACTATTTACAATTTGATTCGATGTACTGACTAAATAATAAGGGTTAGTGAAACATCATGTTAACGTTCTTCGTACATATTTACGTTTGTCGTAAAACTGAACTCTGCAGTTACATATTATTTAATTAAATTGTTACCTCACACTGTTGATTAATTTCGTAAGTATGACTAACAACGATCGAACAATAAATTTAAATATCAATATTAGAATTTAATTTAAAGAACCGAACATCTTAATGACTAAAAAATTAGAGTTACTATTTATTAAGACATGCAATAATAGATAAAAAAAATATAAATAGAACGAACATTTGACCACAATTTAATATTATTATTAAATTATGAGAGTTAATATTGTTGGAAAGATAAGGTGGAATTTCATGTATATATTATTTTTTTTTTTTTGAGATAAATGTATATATTATATTATAGTGCAAAGTTTATTCACATGGGGAGCAATAATAGCAGATAGATAGGAAACTGCATAGGAAGAAACCAACCCAGAATTCTTTTAGGTTTTGTTCTCATCCCAATTAATCATATAACACTTGATTAATATACTTATATTTTTCATACACCGTATAATTAAATTAATACTAAAGAGGGAAAAAAAAAGAATTCTAAAATAAAATAAGAATTATAAGATTAAATTAAGTAATTAATTAATGAAGACAATAAAATAAAAAATAAATGCATAGAGGGTCTAGCAAGAGGGCAATGTATTTGATCCATGCATTTGCAATCCTCATCTCTTGAAAAATACAGAGTGGGGAAGATGATTGATTCAACCCCACCTTATAATGCTGCAATTAAAATGCACTGACCCACTAAATTATATATATATATATATATATATATATATATATATATGCTTTATTTATATTTTTTTTAATTAAAAAAAATATTATTGAATTTCAACTTGAACTAGCTAGCCATAGCTAACCAGGAGATATTGTTGAATCACCTGGATGTTGACATCGTCTTCCATACACTCACACAATCATGATTTTTTTTCTTTCATGGATTTGTTTTTTTTTTTTTTTTAATTCATAAATGGATAAATATGCGTGACAACATAAATAAATTCTTCATTTTTCTTTCTCACTAATGCTTTGATTATTCTTCCTAATTCGTTTCTTGAAATGCATATGTATTTTTTCCTTACTTCTTTTTTTATGAAGGGACCTCCAAAAACATATGGCATAATGTGGATTCGTTTTGGGAGTGATTTGGTACGATTACACATCATGTTTTGCAATTCATCACTCACACTTGTTGATCTCTCACTCGTGGACACTATATGCATCACAAAAAGTCGTTAGGGTTGGTCCCGGCGAAAACTCTCCCACGCTCAAGTCAGCTTTGTATGATAGAAGAATTCAGAGAATTCAAGAGAGTGCTCGGAAG